AGTCAACTTAAGGACCCTTTCCGAGACTGAAACATACCGATACCTGGCTATGTCACAGAACATCGGTATTGGTGAGGCTGGTATGAAGCAGTCTGCGACGTGTTTTATGCACGCTTGACCAAAGTGGTTAACAGTCTTTTGTCTGGTATGAATAAAACACATGCATATAATTATTGGGTCACCCCTGTCCTCATGTATACCTTTGACATACTCAGGTGGACTCAGACTTAACTTAACGCCCTGGATAGAAATGTCCACAATGACGTAGGATAATAAGAGTAATACTGGCGAAAGCATGGTGGGCGTGGCTTTTTGAGCGCGCTCACCATGCATAATCGCGAAGTGTGCAGCGTCCGTAATTACTTCCTGGCGAGATAGGATGATCCATTCTATAAGGAAGTCATTTCTTGTGATAAAGGACTTACCCCTTTATCCTTAGCCAACGAGCAGCAGTGCAAAGCATTTCCGACCAGAAGACCCCAAATGTCACTAAATATTATTTTATTAAAAATAGCGAAACAAAGAAAAATCAAACAATACATATATATATATATATATATATATATATATATATATATATATTATATATATATATATATACAACATGTAGGTGCGTAATCAGAATCAGTATCCACGCGTGTAGATTTTTATTTTCAAAAAACACATTTAAAAAAATTGATTTTAATGAAAAAACAATTAATTTGCAAATTATATGTGGTTTTATTATCTCTGCGTTGGCCGAGGAGTAAGAGGATTGTCAAAGACCCCGCATTACTAATACTCGTGTGAGTTAGAGGAAATAAAACCACAAATAATTTGCAAATTTTTTTCATTAAATTTAATTTTTTAAATGTGTCTTAGAAAAAAAATATTGCTATACGCTTGGATACTAAAATTCTGATAACGCAGTTAACGTTAACGGGAACCACAGGTTACATGTTGTGTATATTTTCAGTTTATACATGTGGTGTATATACTAGGGATGGGCCGAATATGGATTTCACCGAATACGAATATTCGGTAAAATTTTTATCGAACCGAGATTCGGCCGAACATTATTCGGCAGGATAACCTCGGGACCTAACCAATTTATGTCGAAACTTGTTACCGTAAAGCTCGCGGGATTAGCACCGGACCCTACCTCTCGCTCCCCGCCACACCTGACAGTTATTGCATTATCTAGTACTAAGTAAATTGCCGGCACATGCTTATGTTTTGACTATTCTTGTGATAAAAAAATTATTTCGTTGTTTTATTCTTAATTAATGTAAAAGTTACAGCCTCTATACGTCCCACTCGTGGACACAGGCCTCCGCTCATTTCTGAGAGGGTTTTAGGGCAAGGTCATGTCTTCGAAATAATTTTTTCTTATTTTTCAGACATGCAGGTTTCCTCACGATGTTTTCAAAAAATTTTGTAAATCAGCACTTAAATTGCAATTAATAATTTATTGGTGCCAGCAAGGATTGAACCCGGTTTGCTCACGCACTGTGAAATTTACAGCGAGCGCTAACCATCTGAGCTACCACGGCTCTTTATTATTAGTGAGTAAAGTAAAGAGCCGTAAGAATTTTATTCTTAGTGAAAATTGATAATTATATGACAAAAATGAGCTAGGATATTTACTATTTTGAGTTATTTTGGAGAAACTGACGACCAAATTAAAGTGAAATGTACTAATGTAACGTAATGTTTCTTTGTTTGGTTCCAAAAAAAATTTATCAAGTTTCTATTTGACATAATCGGAAATAAATCCACAGTGTCTCAAAAATATAAATGTACTAGATTTATGCATTTGAAGCACTCTAGAGTAAGTAGATTTAACCCATAAATACTTTCATCAGTAAAAGACATCGCATTACTCAATTCGTACATTTCAATACATTGGACACTATGAAAACGAATATTCGGTAAAGTGGCTAATATGCCGAATACCGAATATAAAACGAATATTCGGCCCATCTCTAGTATATACAATACACAAGAATAATAATGTTGTACATGCTAAGTGATTTATTTGTAAAAGTAAAAGTAAAGTTACAGCCTAAATACGTCCCACTGCTGGGCACACTTCTGGCTGGCCTCCTTTCATTTCTGAGAGGGTTATAGGGCAAGGAAGTGTCCGCCGCGCAGCACCAATGCGTCACCGCTGAGCACGTGGTAAATCAGCACTTAAAATTGCATTAACAATTTCATTGGTGCCGGCGGAGATTGAACCCGTGTTACTCGCGTTCTGTTATATTTACAGCGAGCATTAACCATCTGAGCTACCACGGCTCTCAATTTATGGAATGTAGTTGTGCTTTTTTTTTTTAAATGTGTGTGTTATTGTAAAAAAACGACATCCAGAGAACCTTTGTTTCAGTTCCTGTACATTTTATAATTTCTTTAACGGATAGAGTATAGTATTCCTTAAACCTAAAATAGTCAGATAGTATCAAAAATTTAAGTACGTGCAAATGTCGCTAAAAGTTGAATTTGAAACATTGAATTTAACTCTCTAAATTAACAAAAAACTCGTTAGATTTAGAGACTTTGTCGCTAAAGTGGCAACACTACGACTAGGACTCCGTGACGGACCGCTCCAGGAGTATAGGAGTATAGTATACGGGAGTATATAGTATTTTCTTTGAATGATAATATAATCATTTCAAACTATAATTGTAGCGTACAACTAACTATAATCATAGCGTACAACAGCCTGCTTTTATTCAGAGAACTTAGCGGTCGCAGCCCCTCACTTATTTTGTCCATATTTCTGGGACACTTTTCCGTATATACACTCTTATCTATGGGGACACTATTTTCTATAATACATTACACAGCGATCGTTCTCCAGTTCTCTAGCCTCCATGGCAATGCTCTATGGTTCTCCTTTTTTTATTAACTGGCTTTACGGCTCTGGGTTCTAGCCCTTCTGAGCATATCATTTCTTTAGGAATCTTCATTTTATATTCTTTTTCTTCACAATATGCTGATGCGTCACATTGCGAAGCCCTAGGCAGATTTTAACGACAGATCAATCTAGCGGACAGTTGATGACGACTGCCACTCAAGTTCATAAGGCACCCAAGCGATTAAATTAACTTGAGTTTTATTTCGACAACAAAGCACTTCTTTTATCGTTTTCTATAATAGTTCACTCGCGCAGACACTTAATTCACAAAATCACATCATTTTTACGAATTAAAATCCACTTAAATCATTATTCAAGCGATAAAACAGGAGCGAGAATGCGTCTACGGCCAAGTTCCCGCCAAAACTTTCTTCTCCTTTTCTCTAATCTCCATGCCATGAATGTTAGAGAACAGGAGAACGATCGCCGTAGAAAATAGTGTCCCAGAAATATGGACACCATCAGTGAGGCGCTGCGATCACTAAGTTCGGTCAATAAAAGTCATTTTCAGTCTATTTTTCCGATCAGATGCTAAACCACTTGCACATCCACGCACAATTAAATATTTCTCCATTTTTTAATGTTTCTTTTTGTCAAAAATTACGGAGCATTAAAATTTTCCAATTCATTCATTCCAAACATTCCTCAAAACATGTAGGGCATAAGGGAGTTTTTCTCGGCATCCCTTGCACCTGTATCTTGTCTCTTTGCGTTTTTTATTTTTAGTTCAGAGGCTACAGTACAAATATTTAAAATTCCTCTTGGAATCATTTGAGCACGGAATATCTTCAGGCCAGTGATCCTGACTAATGTTTACCAAATTTTCCTGTTGAAGTACCTTTTTTGGAGCTCTAACTGCAGTTCGTCGACTGGAATATATGCTACCAGTTCCTATAATGTTTCTACCAGAACAACCACTCTCTAAGTTTATCATTTCTTTTATTAAATCTTCGCGATAGTCCCCAAATTCGTATTTTACATTGTTTTTAAAGTATTTTTTGTAGACAAAGAAAGAATTCCAAACAGATATATCTAAGAGATGAAAGAATACTTTCTTATACCATCGAATAGTTTTCTGTGGCGAGGAGTAATATGAAACCATTTGGTCTTTCCTATTTATTCCTCCCATATATTTATTATATTCTGAAACCTCTTCAGGCTTTTGTGAAATTTTTCCTAATCGGTTTGAAACATTTATTAGCTTAGGATGATTTCTGGTAGTTATAACGTAAACTGGACGCTTATAATACCACGCTGATACGTAAACTTGCTTTTTACGAGACCAAAAAAATCACCCTTTTTTAGTTTTATTTGTGTCAGCCTCTTAGGGTTTGTCTTTCTGTTTTTACGAAGTGTGCCATTGGTGTGGGTACGCAACTCTAGTAATTTCTGACTCAAATCGACATCATTATAAAAATTATCCATGAATATGTGATGACCTTTCATCAAGTATGGTTTCAGCAGTTTCATAACTATTTGTTCGGTTTTCTTCCCATACGTATTATCATCTTCGCCCTTACCACAATACATAATAATATTCAGAACATATCCTGTTGCACTGGTTAGGACATAAAATTTTATACCATAACGAGCCTTCTTAGATTTTATGTACTGCCTGAAATATAGTCTAACCCTGTATAAAACTAGAGATTCATCTAACGATAATTCTTTGCCAGGACCATATACACGACGAAAGTTCTCAGATAGAGCTTCAATAAAACCAGTTATCTTCTTCTCGCTTTTTGCCTCAATATCTGATACATAAATGGCTCGTAATATTTGATCAAATCTTCTAGATGACATCACATAAGAAAATATCGAGTGGAAATTCAAAGGATCGGAATATGAGAAGAGTTTTCGCCTCTTTGGAATTTTAATTTGGCCTTGTAATAAACAAAGCCCCAAGAAAGCTAACATTTCTTCCTTGGTTACATCACGGAAAGAACATTTTCTACTATGTCGGTCTGGTTGTATTCATCAAATTATTTCCGTAAGCATTTGTTCTAGACACAACAAAATCCAAAAGATTGTTAGAAAATATTAATTTGAAAATATCTAAAGGTTGAGCATTATCAGGTATTTCTACTTTGAGTCCTTCAGATGCCTAATCAAAATGAAAAAGAGGGATCTCGGCGGTAACGTCTACCCACTCGTCAGTGTCATTTTGAGAATTTTCACACGATATTTCGTGTACATCAGATGCAATGTCGAATTGTTCATGGCACATTAGTATAGATGGGCTGTTTGCCCTGGCATTATCATCCCCTATATCGTCGTTAGTTGTGTTTATAATTTGATCTGAAGTGCACGGCTGCCCCACAGGGACAGTTAAAGTTGAGTGGATTCTTACCTCTACTTCATCATCTGACGCTAGAGTATCACTAGATCCGCTGAACTCTGTTCTCATCATATTTCTTGCAATTTTTCTTGTCTCTGTAGACTCCACATATGAGCTCGACATAATTAGGTTTAAATTCTTGATCCGATCCATATTCGCCATCGTCAATGTATGGGTCCCGTTCTGGAGTCAACTCTGGAGTAGATGCATCCTCTAAAAGTTGCCTAATACGCTCACTACCAGTCTGCTTTTGTGCCATCTAAAAAAATATAAATACCTACATTATACAAATTCATTTGATAAAATTTGTTCATAATTACGTCAATATAGCTATTTTTATAGTATAACGATTATTATATTACAATAAGATTTTACCCCTACAGTAAAATAAAATAAATATTTATACTCACTTTCGATCGCGGAGCGCTAGAGAAATACACTTTCTGACAAGATGGCGTCCCACGCGGCACAAACTCGTGCGTCGAAGTAACACGTATACAAACACAACGGCAACAGCTGTAGTGTAGCTGTGTGTGCACACACACGTCCTAAACCGACTAACAACAATACAATTTGCTCTTGTGCATCACATTTTGACAGTACAATCGTATATTCCTTTCACAGAGTGCCAGTGGAAATGTGTTGTATATATAACTCACAGTCGTTTAGCTGCTTATACCGTACTGGCAATACGGAGAATTGTTTGCCGTAAATTGTAAATTTGAAAGTTTACGGCAATAACCGTACTGACGATATTTGCAATACAAAAAAAAGCAGCCATAGCCGTTACCGCGCGCGATACAAATAAAAACTGTTTTTCGTCGCATTTCTTAAAATCTTATAATTTATATCTTAGGTCTATGACCATTACGCTGATATTCCCTTAACAAATATATGTAAAATTAAAAACTGTTTTTCGTCACATTTCTTGAAATCTTGTAATTTATATTTTAGGTCTATGATAATTATACTGATATTTCGTTAACAAATATAAGTAAAAATAAAAACTTTTTTTTGTCGCATTTCTTGTAATTTTGTAATTTATATCTTAGGTATATGATTATTACGCTGAAATTTCCTTGACAAAACATATGTACAAATAAAAGCTGTTTTTCGTCACATTTCTTGAAATCTTGTAATTTATATCTTAGGTCTATGATCATTACACTGATATTTCCTTAAGAAATATATTGTTGCGCGCCTAAGTTGACGTCTGGCACTAGCGCCATCTAGTGTCGGGTAACAGAGCGAGGAGAGCTTTCCAGAAAATGACATGACTAATCTTTCAACCGACAGCGCCATCTAGTATCGAATTGAAGAACTAAGCTTTCTAGAAACCTCACACTCGAACTTTCTGCGCCTGGTCTGTTGGCGCGCGTATTTACTTGAATATTCTGGATGTTTCGGTGAAAAGGGTATTTAAGGCGCTGCAATACGCGATCGGGGCAGTATTGAATTTGGCGAGACAAGCGAAATAAAGTGAATCAGTGTGGTTAATTATTAGTGTTTTAAGCTTTAATTGGTGTTAGGCAATAAAAGTGTAAATTTTGGTAATTCAATCGGCAGTTTTTATTATCACTAACCTCAAGCTCGTAACAATTGGTGTCAGAAGCGGGATAAAATCATGCCGATTTTACCTAAGGACGAGATGGAGGGTGTCCGTACCCGAAGTCAGATTTGGTGGTGCAACGCCGCAGACGTCAGAGGGCCAAGTGCCAGCCACGGAGGCTGGCCCGTCAGCAGCTCCTACACCTGCAGCACCTGACTTAGGTGCTCTGATGGTGATGCTGCAGGAACAGGCCCACCGACAGGAGGAACAGGCCCGTTGGTTGAAAGAGCAGCAGGAGGAACAGGCCCGCCGACAAGAAGAGCAGATGCTCCTCGTGAAGGACATTCACGCTAACTTCGGGAAAGAAATAACGGAGGTGAAGGATAGGGTTGCTCAACATGACAATCGCCTGTCGGAAGCTGAAACCCAAATCAAGGAAGCTAAAACCCAAATCGACCAAGTGAACAATCGGGTTGATTACGTGATGGCTGACGTGAAGAAAACGCTGGACGACCTCAAACTGGGGGATGGAACTACAGCTCCCCTAGTAGCTACTACACCTTCGCTACGTGGGTTCAAAGTGCCACCGTTCGACGGGACTTCTTCCTGGTCAGCCTACAAAATCCAGTTCGAGGCTGTTATGAAGGCGAACGGCTGGAATAAAAGTCAGGCCATGACTGCTATCACACTAGGCCTGCGCGACCAGGGCTTAACAGTTCTGGAAGCTCTCGGTGAGGAAGTGACTTGTGAGCAACTCCTTGAGGCATTGGAGGCGAGATATGGCGACACTCACATGGAACACGCCTTTCGTGCGCAGCTTAAAGACCGCGTGCAGCGCATCAACGAAAACCTGCAGCAGTGGGCTCTAGAGGTGGAGAAGCTGGTGCGAAAAGCATATCGGTCTGTACCTGCGCTCATTGAAGGGAACCTGGTGCAGCCACATTCATCGACGGCATCCGCGACCTTGAAGTCAGAGCTGCTGTGAGGCTTGGTCACCACGAGATGCTTAAGGACGCCTTGGCCCATGCACTGGAGTTGGAAGCCGTGCGGCAGGATCATCGCTCCCATCGCATCAGCGAGGTTGCAGTAGCTACAGTTCGCGAACGCAATAAAGGATACAGCCCTAGGTGGTATGGCTGTGGGGAAAGGGGCCATCTTTGGTCCAACTGCCCTAAGCGAACTGTAGAAAAGGAAGTTGATCAATCTCGAGAGGGTAGCGCAGCTAACGGCACCACCTGGCGGCGGCAGGATCATCGCTCCTCTCACGATAGGGAGGTTGCAGCAGTTACGGTTCGCGACCACAATAAAAATTACAGCCCAAGGTACTACGGCTGTGAGGAAAGGGGCCATCTTCGATCCAGCTGCCCTAAGCGATCTGTAAAAACGGAAGGTGATCGATCTTGAGGGGGTAGTGCGGCTTACAGCACCGCCCAGCAGCAGCAGGAATACGACTTTACTATCGGACACTGCAGCGGGAAATGGCGAGGCAACACAGATGCATTGTCAAGAAGACCTCATCCTGATGATTACGAGACCAGTACTAGGCAAGAGGGTAAGGCAGTGGTATCCGTGAGGACGCTCAGGACAGACTACCTCAGCAACGAGTGGAAGGACAGCTTACAACATGCACAGCGGGAAGATCCGGACATCAAGCTGATTCTGAAATTGATGAAGGCCAGTACTTCCAAGCCCAAGTGGAGCGACGTCTCAGCGATGAGTTCGACCACTAAAAGCTATTGGGCCCAATGGGACCGCTTGCTGATTCAGGATGGAGTCCTGTGCCGTAAATGGGACAATGGTCGAGGAGAGAGCTGTCATTTGCAAATGGTTGTCCCTAAAGCTAAAGTGCCGAATGTTCTACAGCTGTACCATAATGGTTGTTCAGGAGTCCATCTGGAAGTTAAAAGAACTCTACTGAAGATCCGAGAACAGTTTTACTGGGCCCATTATCGTGACGATGTCGAGGATTGGCGTCGCACATGTACAAGTTGTGCGGCTGTGAAGGGATCTCAGACACCATGCACACCATCATGCACCATGGGATAGGACAGCCCTTGACATTGCGGAGCTGTTTCAGAAAGGCGCAAGAGGGACTCCTAAGATCGTCCATGTGGATCGCCTGGCACGCTATTATGGGGCTGATAATGCTCGGGCCGAGCATGTCTTAGGAGGGGGCAGTGTAACGCGCCTAAGTTGACGTCTCGCACTAGCGCCATCTAGTGTCGGGTAACAGAGCGAGGAGAGCTTTCCAGAAAATGACATGACTAATCTTTCAAGCGACAGCGCCATCTAGTATCGAATTGAAGAACTAAGCTTTCTAGAAGCCCTACACCCGAACTTTCGGCGCCTGGTTGGTTGGCGCGGGTATTTACTTGAATATTCTGGATGTTTCGGTGAAAAGGTGTATGTAAAGGCGCTGCAATACGCGATCGTGGCAGTATTGAATTTGGCGAGACAAGCGAAATAAAGTGAATCAGTGTGGTTAATTATTATGGAGTGTTTTAAATAATGTCTTTGACGACAAGTGACATAATAATTCAATTTGTTTATGTTTCTTTACAATTTTATTATACTTATTGCATAGAGTGTGTAGACATTTAGTAGGTACTAACTACATATACTTTATAGAAGTGAGCTGTTATTTTTATATGTAAGTATCTACCTATCTATATCTGCCAAAAGCAAATGCCAGCTTTTACGATGAGTATTATATTCATTCAAATAAAATTAATTTATACCTTTTAGAATGGAAGATAAAGATTATAGAAAAGGAAGAAAGTCGACCGTGTTTATCAACAAAACGAAAAAAAAATCAATTTTCTTCGTAAATCGAAAGGATGGGTAACGCCAACTTCTAAAATCAACAGGTATACCACATAACAAACTATTGCACATAGGTATCATACGTAATATTATTTATTCTAATAGATATACCTAGTGTAATAGATAGACCGAAATTTATTTCGCCAAAATATAAAATTATGGAATAGCTGATTTTGATTTTTAAGAATTCATAAACGGACGAGGTTCTACATATGTTCGGCTGTATGTTTTTTCTTTTATTTTATTTTCTATGTATGTTCACTGATTTCTCCATCGTGGACCGATTTTGAATACCTATTCATTTTTTCTTTGATAATGTATGTCTCACATTTGGCCCCGTATAAATGTCATAGAAATTATTTCAACCATGACATATGTTATAATCAAAGAGATTTAAATATATATTTACTATTACTGCTTAAATGTTTTTGGTTGTAATTGAGTTTTACTGAAGTCGGTTGTACAAAATTTTCAATTTTACCACTTGTCTAGTAATAATATTAGTTCGTTAGAAAATGTTGTTCGTATTACTAATTCTAATTACTATTTTACTAAGAATGAACCGAATTAAAGGTAAACTAGCTTTTGCTCACGACTTTTGCGCGGGTTAGTTAGGCATAAATATATTTTTAACTATTATCATTCTATTTATTTTTCAGTGACTCTGAGCTTGACAAGGAATTACCGAACAGTAATA